AGGGCCGAGATTTTCCGGATTTTAGGCTGGCCGGGCCGGCCCGGGCCAATCCAGATATGGGGGCCGGCCCGGGCTCCAGCTGGGCCGGCCCGCCACCTTGCCAATAAGTTATATTGAGCTTAAATGGGGTAATTTAATTACATTATAGGTTTTCCTTATTGATATTCAACTTAAATCATCTGTTTAAACAGTTAAAAGTTAAAAAAATCCGAGGTTTGGCTTAAATTTGATTTATCAGGAAAACGACCCGGGTTCGATCCCAGCCGAGGTCAATCTTTTTGCTTTTGCTTTTTTTGGCCGGAAATGTTCAGGAAATGCTGGGAATATGCCTTGTTAGCCTTATTTAAGTGTATTAGTGTTCAAACTACACGTATGCGTCAGAAGAAATTGAACTCCACTAAGTAAAACAGACTTTTTCCTATTGAACTAAACTTTTACTGGTTGTATGCTGTTTTATGAATAAATTCTCGTTACATACTATACCTAACTAGGGAGGTATCTGAACTCGGCATCGAACTGTGAAAAGTCAGATACACCATTCGACGCGCCTTGTCGAGGGATTCCCAAATATGTAATAAAATCAACCCAGAGCCTATAACGATAAAAGTTATGAGCATTTTTAAATCGACAAAATGGTGAAAACAGTATCTTTGAGACCCTTTCTCATCCCGCGGAATAGAATTTAGCCTAAACTGATTGGTGCTCTTTGTTCAACAAAGAAAGCTCTTTCAAATGAGCTATATTACATACGGCTGCCAAAAACTTCCGCAAAAAAGATTTTTTGGAATGCAGTGTAAGGGTAGGCTATGCCTCAGCTAGCCAAAGACTTTTCGAGAATTTGGCGTAAAGCAGTGAAAGATAGCTCATTCGAAAGGAATTTTCTGCTGATCAAGATGTACTGTTCTATTTTTGACAAATTACATTTTTCGAATTCGTACAGAGTCTTAAAAAGGGCGTTTTTTGACGATTTTGCCAACTTGGATATAGAGAGCGTCCAATCCTGGATTTCTGGTTCGAGGTTATTTTATCATCGCTAGTGCTTTTTTCGGGGTCACACAGTCCGAAAAACTTATTCCCGAACTTGGAGAATAAAAAGTAGAAACTGGTCAAAAGCAAAAAATAAAGTCGTGAGTGGATCCGAACCCTGGACATACACCCCAGAGACCCATGCGCACACCACTAGGCCACAGAACCGATGAACAGGGTGCGCTGGGAGGGCTTCATATCAGCGGCGATATTCGCTGCAAAACTTAAAATGCTCATAACTTTTTACGGTTATACGCTCTGGTTGATTTTATTACATATTTGGAATGCCCTTGACAAGGCGCGTCAAATGGTGTATCTGACTTCTCAAAGTTCGATGCCGAGTTCAGATACCTCCCTGTTAAGTCAGTTGTGCAAGCCTATAGACGATTAACGGACTTGATCTAACACGTTTTTGTGACTCCGGAAAAATTAAATGTTGGCATATACTGGTTTGGTAAAAATGTACCCAAAATGTCGGGCCGCGGGGCGAAAAATTAGCTGCGGGCCGAGAAATGGGCTGGCGGGCCGGCCCATTCCCAGGCCTGCGACAAGTATACCGTTGGCAAGAGCGTTCAAAATGCTACCTTTTCTCACCGGCTAGAAGCGATTCTCGCAAGCTTTTTAGGCTACTAGGGCGGTTAGAATAAAACTTCTTCGAAATTGTCCGCCGCCTTCAACAACCTCGAAGAGGAATGCTACCAAACGACCCCCAAATGAGTTGCGAGCGGTTTGGCGTCGAGTTGTTCGAACTGCTCGAAGATCATGTTCATCTTCTGATTTGGTCAAGAAAGCCTAGTCATATACTGCCGAAAAGCACCCCAGACAGCGCCCCGAAAGACACCCCAAAAGCCACCACGGGGTGATTTCTGATTTACATAGCGTTTTCATTAATATATAACAACTTCCGACGAGTCAGAACGGCAAACGAATCAACTCGTTGACGAATCGATTCGTTTCGATTCCTGATTCGTGGGCAACGAATCGATTCGCCAACGAATCAACTCGTCTGACGAATCGACTCGTCAGCGAATTGATTCGTTTGGCTGCGGTTCATTAGCAACGAATCCAAATTAGCCGCGAATCAAATCGCGATTCGAATCAACTCGCTGGCGAATTGAATCGTTGAAATTTCCATTCGCCGGTTGCGAATCGGGGCTTATTCGAATCAACTCGCTGCCGAATCAACTCATTTGAATTTTTGACGAATCAATTCGTCAACGAATCAACTCATTATAACAACCCTATACCTAACGTAAGAAATCACGATCCATTTTGGTAAGCCAATCGGCGTGCGTGTCGCGTAGCTCGGGTACCGGGGAAAAGGCGTAAGGAATGCATATCCACCAAAGTCAAAAAATAATGTTCCGGAATGCGGGTCTCTTCAAAATGGCAAAAACACCTGAAAATGGTTAGAAATCCAACAGAAACATGAAAACAAGGCCGTTAAGATGTCGAAATGTTGGAAGCCGAACACACACCGGCCAGCCACCACCCGGCTACGGTATTTCAGAGGGGCTGATGGTTGTGGTGAGGGACGGCGAGAGATCGATGTGCCCTCAACGGGCGGTGGTCGTCGTCCTCATTCTGTATCTCTCTCTCTCTCTCTCTCTCTCTCTCTCTCTCTCTCTCTCTCTCTCTCTGCCTCGCTTCCATTTACATTTATGGGCAATAAAAGCGGCGATCCGAGAAGGCAGCCGCCTGCGAAGACACGGCCTCGGGACCTTCTTTCCGCCCTCCAAACACCCCCCCCTCACCTTTGGCTACGCGACACACCTATCCATCCCTTTCGGACGATACATCGAAACCCCCCATTGAAATGCCCTTCCTGGGAGCCAACCTGGCGACGAAACCTGCAGAAAAGAAGGGCGGTTTAAAGGGTTTGGAAAGTCACGGGTCCTTAGAATGGTCTCTGCTAGCTCTCCTCAATGGCCTCTGCTATCTCTCCTCAATGGTCTCTGCTAGCTCCCCACCCCCCCCCAATGAGCCTCTGCTAGCTCCCCTCAATGGTCTCTCTTCTAGCTCTCCTCAATGGTCTCTGCTAGCTCTCCTCAATGGCCTCTGCTGCTGCCCTCACCGTCTCTGTATCTGTCTCAATTATCTCAATGCTCTGCCTAACTGTCTCCTATCAATGGTCTCTGCTAGCTCTCCTCAATGGTCTCTGCTAGCTGTCCTCAATGGCCTCTGCTAGTTCTCCTCAATGGCCTCTGCTAGCTGTCCTCAATGGTCTCTGCTAGCTCTCCTCAATGGTCTCTGCTAGCTGTCCTCAATGGCCTCTCCTATTCTCCTCAATGGCCTCTTCTACTGCCTGTCCTCAATGGCCTCTGCTAGTTCTCCTCAATGGCCTCTGCTACCTCTCCTCAATGGCCTCTGCTAGTTCTCCTCAATGGCCCTCTGCTAATTCTCTCCCCAAATAGTCTCTGCTAGCTCTCCTCAATGGCCTCTGCTCTGTCCTCAATGGCCTCTGCTAGCTCTCCTCAATGGCCTCTGCTAGCTCTCCTCAATGGCCTCTGCTAGTTCTCCTCAATGGCCTCTGCTAGCTCTCCTCAATGGTTTCTGCTAGCTCTCCTCAATGGCCTCTGCTAGCTGTCCTCAATGGCCTCTGCTAGCTCTCCTCAATGATCTCTGCTAGCTTACCATAGGATCAATAGGTACGATCCCCATGAAGTGATGGTAATTCAGGATACGGTAGGTATCGAAATCTACCAATAGCTGAAAAAATCTCAATAAAATACAGGAATTTAATTAAAATAGAAGATTATCGACGTCAATTGGTAGCTGTGGTAGCTGGGGCGAAGGCGGAAACCCCATAGCTTCACATCTGTTTCCACTCAGGACCATCCCCCATCCGAGTGTGGACTTTGACTTGTCATGACTCAACCACCCATTGTACTTTTTCTGGGAATGACTTTGCGAGGGTTTCAGACCCAGTTTTTACTTTTGAAACAAAAAGTCAGAGCTCTGTTCCGGACGGGGGTCGAACCCGGGGCGTATGCCTGGTAAGTTGGCACACAACCAATCGGCCAAGGACCCAAACGATGCAAGAATTGACCCAGGCTTCCCGGTTCCTTTAAAATAGATAGTTTTCAAAGTTTTTGTCAAAAAGCAAAAAATTCGGTACCGGACGAGGGCCGAACTCGGGTCATGCGAGCGAAAAGCTAGCGCACAACCAATCGGCTAAACTTCCAGAATATTTAATTTTGGTTGAATTCAGTATAAAAGTTATTTTAGATATTCTGCTTCGGTATAAAAGTACCTTACGGTAATAGATACAATTTATCCAAAAAATCAAACGACAGAGAATTAGATAGAAAATTAGCCAAAAACGTTAATTGGCCCTAGTTGAAGTGAGGACCAAAGGGAAATTGGGGCACGATTTTCGAGCGGGTATCCGGCAAATTCCGAACGATGTTCCGCTATGCACCAAATTCCGCTCAAAAACCAGGCCCCTTTTTTAGGGAAATTTGAAATCATGGAGTAGTAGAAGAACAAGCTTTTCAGGACGGATATCACATTGCGTCGGTAGTGGGGGAGGGGAAGGAGGCGGCTAAGCCAAGCTTAAACCTAAGCCTAAGCCTAAGCCTCGTTCCAAGGGCTGCTGGAGAGGATCATCATAGTGGGGTGGGTACGCTTCTTGGGGAACGGTAGTACGCTAGTATACGGTATCAAAAATAAGGCGCAAGCGGCTTGGGGCATAAAATTCAGAAATTTTTAAAGCTACTTGAAAAGTGGAATTTTTGAATTGCGGGCAGTTGATTTGGATAGTTTAGACGTTAAAAGGGGCGTGTCAAAATGCTGGCACGCTCCCTTATAAAAGATATGGGTGACCCATACGGACTAGGGGGATAGCAGGGGGCGACTACGGGCCACAACAAATTGCACTTGGGGGAATTTCGAATGGGGATTTCGGAATTTTGAATGGGTAGCAAAGCAGGGAGAGATAGAAGAGGGTACAGAGAAAAAGAAGGTGACTTTTAGAATCCGGTGGCTTGGAGCTGGGTGAGGAACTGTTGAAGCTGCTGGGGGCCGATGCAGGAATCTTCAAACGAGGCTGCCGCGGCGACTACCTGCAAAAATTGGTCTAAAAAGAGGCCAGCGCAATTTGCTGGAGCAAAGCGTCGCGTGTTCTATCCTAGCCCGACGCGAAGCACCGCGACGCGTCCGTTACGCTCCGAGGAGAGCGACATTTACAGCAGAATTCACCTATCCAAAACGGCGGGTGCATCGCGGGTAAGAATATTCTAGCGAAAGGCGCAACGGTCGCGTCGCTTAATCTATACCAGCCGCGACGCGTCCGCAACGCCGAAACCCGTGACGCATCCGCAACGCCGAAAGTCATGGCGCATCCGCAACGCAGAAAGCCGCGCCGCGTCCGAAACGCGTCCTCTACGTTTTAAAGGGGAAGAAGAAGCTTCTACTAACGCGTAGAGAGCACCCGCGTACGGCAAAATGCTTAGCGAATACGTCGCGGTCAAAATTGACGCGACGCGCCCGCAATGCGGGCAATTGCAGCAGATTCAGGAATGATCAGGAAAATCCTAGCGGGAGCGTCAAGTGCAGGTTCTGTCGCGGCGCGGGCGCTTCGGCTTTGCCCATCACTTCAAAAACGACACGACCAGCTAGCTAGATAAAAGCGTCGCTTGCGCGGTGCGGACGCGCTAGGATGACCTTGCAGTGTCATGGCTGATACACGCTACGCGCCTGCAACGCAGGAACGCCTGTACCCAATTTTCAAGGACCTATCCAGCCAAAAAATAAACAATTCGCGCTCACCTGTGCCCCGAGGAACGCCGCGTGATACCGCCACGGTGAGATGTGCACCTGGGCGTTGATTGTGTTCGGCAGCACCGTCTCCAGTTCGGTCTCCACCTTCTCCGCCAACCCGGGCAACAGGGAGGCGCCACCGGCCAGGTAGATGTTCCTGAGAAAAAGATTGAGATTGCAATGGTTTTGGTTCCGTACTTGTACAAGTTACGGCGGCTGTCGATGGGTGATTGGGTGACGGCGTCGTGGATGAGGTGGTGGATGCCCTTCGACTCGAGCTGCCACTTTTTGGGGCGGAACAGACCCTCGGTGCATGTGAAGCGAGAGCTGTCGATCTGGAAATCGGTTGTGAAGTTTATCTCTGTCTCTCTCTCGCTCTCTCTCGCTCTCGCTCTCTCTTCCTCTTTCTGTCTCTCTCCTCTCACCTCAAATTCCCTCGGCATACTCGACGTTGGCTTGAACGGCGTCAGCGAGATGCTCTTCTTCTCCCCGCTCTCCGTCTCGTAATTCTCCGGCACGTACGCTGACTAAACGCCAAACTTCTCTGAAGCCAAGATCTGCACTTACATGCTCCATCAAGTATCGCAGAATCAACCGCTCGCACGGGGTCTGGAACGAGAAGAGACCCTGAAATTCGAGAATCCGAGGTTGTTTTTTGGGACCAACGTTGTTGTGCGAGGCCAGCGACGTCCTCAGCGAGTCTCGGATTTGTTGGGCACCCATTGGGATCGAGACGACGGCTGATTCGACCATGTAGCCGTCGATGACGGGCACGATGTTCAGGCGGTCGCCAATGTCGACGACTACTCCTGTCGTTACGTCGTAGGCGTAGAGGATTAAGGAGGGTTGGCGGGTGATCCCGGCGGCCTGGAAATGAAGGCATAGGAATGAAGGCAATTTCTCTCTCTCTCCCCCCTCTCTCGCTCTCTCGCTCCTTACCTTGAAGTGGAACTGTTGTAGAAGCGTATGCAGAAGATCTCCAATCACCGACGTCGGGATGTTCTGGGGGAGTGAGAGAAGGACGTGGTGCTCCCTTGGATCAACACCGAGATCGCGGATTGCCCGCTCGATGCACGCCTTTGTCACTTCTTTGTCCATCGAGTACCTGAAAATCGAGCGGTAGCTAGCAGAGACCATTGGGGAGAGCTATCAGAGAGGTTTGATAAACTCCTACCTTTCCACCGACGGATCGCACTGAATAGGTCGCACCAGCTCGCCACGTTCTCGATTCTGAAATGTAGTTTTTAGTTAGAGCTCGGATTAGATTCCATCAAGCTCAAGCAGTACACCCTGTCACGAACCTCCGGCTCATAAGCTTGATTTCCGACAACGATCTGCCCGTTGTCAAGTATACATCCAATCGCCGGGAAGAAGACCTGTGGGAGGAGGGGCTTCTGATACAGAACACCGGCTCGGATCGACGTCGAGCCCAGCTCGAGGATGACTATCCTCTGAAAATGGTAGATGATCTTGTCAATATGGCCTAGTCGATACCTTAGAGATATGGGGCAACGCCCGCCTGACCGGCGTCACGAACTGGTCGAGGTTCGAGGCTGCGGCGTGGGAGAGCAGCGCCTGGCGCCACTTGTCGAACGTCTCGGCCGTGTCGCACTTTTTGATTCTAGAACGTAGATGGTAAACAGATCCAGGTAAGTTGGCTAAAGGAGCGCTGCGTATTGAGGAAGACTACATAAGGCTCCTCTGAACACGCATATGACGTGCGCACAGAGGCCTTCCAAATATTACTCCATATCTCGAGTCAGAAGCGTCCGATTGGAGGGTTTTTTACACCATTCGAAAGCTAGCGCATAGGCGAGCGTTTCTGTATACAAAATTTAATACGTTTGTTCAAACGCTTGGTTTTATAAAGCGTGAAAAAAATGCGAATTTTTGGGATAATTTGCTCTAATTAGCAATCCCACAATTTTTTTAATTCAATGCGTAAAACTTAATTTATGAAAATCGCTGGAACTTACAGCTTTTAGAAACTAAAATAACGTTCAAAACGCACAAAAACTCGCCATTTTCGGGCTTTCGAATGTTATAAAAACCATAATTCTGGGCCTTGATACAGAATCTTAAAGCTTCTTCCCAAACTAACCTCAACAAGATCTTAATATGCTCCTTGCCGCCGTGGATGTGCAAAGTTCGCTCCTCTCGGTTCGCCTCTATCTCAACGCCATGCAGGGAGACATCCTGCACCGGAGCCTCGCCCGCGTAGTGAGTCTGATTCGGGAATTTTTTGGAAGTTGGAGGATTGCTTACCACAAATGTCTGCAACCTGCCATCCTTTGTCCTCATGTATTCCTCCTTCCAATTCCGCTCCAGCTCGGCGACGGTGGCTGTTTCATCTGAAGGGACCTCGACGTGACCCTGCATATTCACGAAACGGTCCCGTTTTGTTTCGGCGCGACGCTCGTAGGAGATCTGGAAAAAAAAATGGATTTTTCGGATTAAGAGGGTAGACGGACAGCGAGAGAGAGAGAGAGACGGCAAGAGAGAGAAAGAGGGGACAAAGCGAGAGATAGGGAGAAAGAGCTATAGAGAAAGAGCGGCATCGAGTGATAGTGAGAGAGAGCAAGCGCGATCGATAGAATAAAGAGAGCGATAGAATTAGAGAACGAAAGCCAGAAAAACCAACCTCGTAAAGGGCGTCAAGCATAGCTTTCGGGTCCCAATCTCGCAAAGCTGCCGTCTCGTCGCCATTCCGTTCGGGACTTGGGCGCTCGCCACTGCCCAGACCTGACAAAGAATCACTTGAATTATCTCGCTCTATCTCGCCTTCTCTCTCTCTCTCTCTCTCCCTTTCTCTCTCTTTCACTCACCAGAATCGTGATCTGGCATTGTCTTCAGCCGATACTTATGGGAACCAAGCTCTAAATGACTGCCGTCGTACGTCTTCACCGGCCACGACCTTCGCAGCTCACCGTTACGGTCAAAGTAGGTGCCGGTGGGGGATCCCTGGAAAGTACTTAATATGACCTCTTTGCTGGAACTCTTTGTCAGATTCCGTTCCAAGACCTACCGGGGCGTCTTGGTGTGGTGGGCTGTGGCTGGTCCCAACTGAGCGGTACTGCGGTTGGTCCCTGAAGTTTGGATTTCGGTTTCTCGATCTGACTGTCTCTGTCTCTCACTCTCACTCTCTCTCTCACTCTCCAACATACCTCTTTTCTACAAGCTCTTCTGGGGGCGGCGGCGCCGAGTTGGGAGAGTTCGAGTGGGCGCCGGAGCTGGAAAGATTTTTATGAATCTACCAAGCAAAGAATGTGCGTGTAAAATTTTGAGACAGAGATCGAGACAGAGCCAGAGAGAGAGCGAGAGAGAGAGAGGGAGAGATGAGGGTGTATTCAAACCCTGGTGAGCTAGCAAAGATTCTTGGGGAAGCAATTTAAAAAACGAATTTTCCGACTTAAGAAGGTTAGGCTTCAGAAATTAGCTTTTAAGCCAAACGAAAAATTCAAGCTTTCCAAGCCAAACATCGAGTAAGAAGAGATAAACACCCCCTGAAAAATTCGGAGTCGTTTGGTTGCGTGGGGGGAGACAAGAATCGTGTGGTCGTGGGTCCAAGGAGAAGGAAAGAGAAGGAAGAGGAAGGCAGAGAATAAACATTGGTATCGACATTCTTCCGCCCTGAACACGCGTCTCCGGGTTTTAAAGGGATCGTGACATGTGGAGTAGAGAGTAAGACAAGAATTGCATGTCGTGTATGATTGTGGACTAGTTTCTATTTCGCTTAGAATGGCCTAAAAATTTGAAAAACGGGTGGCCAGCTTGTTCGAGGGCAGCGCATTGTTGTGGGGATGGCCTTAAGAGGAAGCGAGAGAGAGAGAGAGAGAGAGAATCGGATAAAAAAACGCCCGGAAAACGGCTGGCCCTCCCTGCCCGGGGGGCCATTCGAGGGTCGGGCTGCCCTCGACGGGGCGTCGCCACGATGGATGGACCTCCTTTTTTGGAGAGGAAGAGCTGGAGGAGAAGCAGCCGAGAACATCCCCCCTCGGGTTAAAGGGCAGAAAAATGGGTTGGACTAGGGCTTTGGTGGGTTAAAGGGAGGGCCAAACGTAAAGCGAGAAACATTCGACAATACTATTTCTTTCTCTCTCTCTCTCTCTCTCTCGCTCTCTCTCTCTCGCTCTCTCTCTCTCTCTCTCGCTCTACCTCGCCGGAATAATCCGCCAAAAAAACCCGGTGCCCCGGGAACACACGGGTGAATAAACAGAACGCGCATCACAAGTTATGGAAAATTTGGAATGCTAGAGAGAGCGAGGGAGAGAGATAGAGAGAAAGCGAGAGAGAAAGAGCTAGGGAAGCAGAGATCGCCAGAAAAACTGGCACAGCTGCGGGGGCAGTTCGCGGGCTCTGACTCGATGAATCCGTAATCGGGCACTGCGGGGTCGCGGTTTTTTTGGGAGCCCGTAAAGAAGCCAATCGCGGGCAATCGACCGGTTTCGTTGGATTTGAGGGCACAGTTTAGGGTTTGGCGAGGAACGCGGGTCAGCTCGAGGAAAAAATATCGGTATTTTGAAGGGTGTGTGATAAAATCTAAAAGTCACAGCTTCACCTTTAGTTCAGGCAAATTAAAGTTAAACGAGCGAGAAATGCTACAAAATTCAAGATAGAAAATTGGAAAATAGCAAAAAAGCTCGGGTCAAGGCTTCAAAACTCTGTATCTTGACGTTTTTCGACGGCTTAAAAGTATGAAAAAGCAAATATGTGGAGCTCTAACTTAAACCAAAATCGTAGTTTTAGCTAAGGTATTAAAACAAATAGCAAATTGAGGAAAACTTTAGAAAACAGGAAAATCCATAACCTGAAGCTCCTGGCCCGTTAAAGGTACCAAAAAGCTACCAGTTAAAGCTTAACATTAAGCTAAGCTGAAGCGTAAGCCAAAGTAACCCCAAAACGTGCCAAAAACCCGACTAACACCAAAATTAGCCGGTTGGCCCCAAGGCGACCGGGTGGCCGGATGCGCAAAAGGGGGGCAGTAAACAAGTGAGGATGTTTCGGGAGGGTGCGGGGGCGAGAGAGTGAGAGAGTGGAGGAGGGGCTAGAGATAGAGGGTGGGCAGGGACTCACTTCCAGCCATTCCCCCCAACCAACAGACCCATACACTCACACACACAAACGATCGATCCCGCATACCCGCAAAGCCGGCTGGAAGAGGGGGGAAATACGGAATTGGAGCGTTTTTGAAGCGCATTAGGCTTGGGATTAGGCTTGCGTGAGCTGAGGCTTAAACATCTGCTTATTCTTAAGCTTAGGCTTGGGATCAAGCTTAGAAACCGGCTTGGTACGATGCTTAAAAATAAGCGTAGGCTTAGAAATCGTCCTACGCTCAGCCCGAGGCTTAGGCTTAGCTTAAGTCGAGGCTGAGGCTCAACGTCCAGCTTAGCTTAACGTAGGCTTAAGCTCTAGCTCCGCTTAGGTTTAGGCTGAGGCTCAACCTCCAGCTTAGCTTGGGCAGAGAAAATTTGCGAAAAAGATATTTTTTTAGTTGGTGAAATTTGAGTCAGACGGGCGCGGAAAAATTCCAATGAAACGACTGGGGGCGGAATCTCAAATTTCGGCATGTCGTGTCGCCGCGGAATACTACTTCCCCTTATGTAGATCAACATTTGAAAAATTTAAGAGAAAAAGGTTTGTACCGGTAGTTTTCTTCTCTCTCGCTCTCTCTCTCTCTCTCCCGCTCTCTCTCGCTCTCTCTCCCGCTCTCTCTCGCTCTCTCTCCCTCTCTCGCTCTCTCTCTCTCTCTCTCTCTCTCATAATTCTATCGGTTTTTAAGGGGACGACCGGAAAGAGACAGGAAAGCTTGCGCTTCGCGTGTCGCGGTTGCCGTAAAAACCTCGAGCGTCCAGATCCAAAAAATCCATAGCCATACCTTGCCGTTGTTTTTAAAGGTACCAGGAAGCCATGAATCGACTGATGCAAATTCCAAAAAATGGTAAAAAGCATCCACTTGAAAAAACAACTTTTAGCAGTCGAAGGCTGACACAGGCATCAGGTTTTGTCCCCACATATCCAGGGATCAATAGCCGGACAAGAGCCAGATTTGCGAGAAGGGTTGTCTACCAGGCCGTGGGCCCCAAATGGGACATTCACTGGGTCCCGGGGGGGGGGGGTGGACGGAGGCTTCTATGCCCCCAGAGGGCTGATTCGAAATATGAACCTCGCCCCCATTCGTGGTAATGCGAGTAGCAGAAGGGAGTCGAAAAATGGATTCTAGGCGATGGATTAAAGGGATGGTGACAGGAGGGGCGGGTTTAAAAATGTAAAATTTTCCTGCGATGCCTTTATTACGCATAACTCGACGCGCAGCGGAGCGTTGCGTATCATCGCGTAGCTATGTCCAAAATTGCGATTTTTAGCAGGGATGGCAAAATCGGCCGGCCGGGCCGATCGGCCGAGCCGAAAGCCGACTAATTCGGCCACTTCCGGGCCGATTGCTCTATGCTAATTTTTTCGGCCGAGCCGATCGGCCCGGCCGAATTTTTGGGAAATCGGCCGAGCCGATTCGGCTTGGCCGACTTTATCTAAATTGCATGTAAATTGATGTAAATGAGAAAAACCATAATGGATGGGGGCTAGACATGTATTGTCGCGTGCGCGGTACCAGAATAAAATGTCGACAACTGAGACCCGAGCCTGGGTAACACCGGCCGAAATATCGATTCCAAAATCACGAATTGATAATTCACGATTCGCCGCTTCGGAATTCAAAATGCCGATCAGGTCCAGTAGGCATTCTATTTTCTTAAGCAAAACGATAAAAAATAAATTGGAAAAATAGATTCGAGATTTTTTTTTGAGAAATTTTTGCTTAGTAACTAACATGTCGGCTTTCGGCTCGGCCGATCGGCCGGGCCGACTGAAGGCCGAAAATCGGCCCTGGAATGGCCGATTCCGGAAGTGATCGGCCGAGCCGAATTCTAATAGGCCGATATTCAAATCCAGGCCGAAAAAGCCGATCGGCCCGGCCGATTGCCATGCCTGATTTTTAGTGATCTTTTTTGACTTCCAAGTCCCGTTTACGGTATCATCTACCTACCCGATGCCTGTCATTCCCTCGTATACGGTGTCGTAGATCGGGCTGGCGCCTTGGCCAAGTGTAGCACCAGCTCTTTGTAGATGACCCTGGTCCCCGGCAGGTGTATGGTAGTGTGACGTTGGGGTGTTGGAGCTGAAAACAGTGTTGGAAGCGTTTTCTCACTCTCTCTCCCTCTCTCTCTCTCACTCTCTCTCACTCTCCCTCTCTCTTTCTCACCAAACCCACTCATATAGCCGATGAATAGGCGTCGTCAGATGAACGGATGTCGGAAACGTCGAGTTTTCAGTCAGATACTCCTCCTCGAAGATTTCGCCCCTAAATTTTGCTGCTCAACCGACTTCCTATTTTTCTTACGTGACGTTCCGGCGCTTGACGATGGTGACCACCTTGGTCTTCGTCTCTACCGTCACCTCTTCGGCATTCCTAAAATCGGGGATTTTCAGCAATCTGGGGGAGGTCGAGGAGGTCGGGGAGTGAGAGGCAGCGCATGCAAAGCGGAAGCAAAACTGACTTTAGATGGTGTTCGGTTGCCTCTGCGGCATTACTAAAAGAGTGATTGAATAGACGAAAGAGAGAGAGAGAGAGAGGAGAGAGAGAGAGAGAGAGATCGTGTGTTAGAGCAACACCTAAAACCCACGTCAAGTCGATATGCTCCGGAATTCCGGGCGGTCGTTGCTCAGGAGCCAACTGGTAGTGAATCTCATCGTAATGATGCGCTGTAGCGATCGGGAACACGGTCATCTACAAGATTCTTGCCGTCATTGCTCCCTCTCAAACCCACATCTCGGCCATCATGTACCAAATGCCCTCCATACACCGGTATCACCGTCTTCTCAATCTCCTCGTCCTCGTAGTGCTCCAAGTGATACCCGCCATGTTGCTGGAATGGCAAAATTCTGCTTATGAAATCCATCGCTCTACCTTCCCAGTCCCTTCAATGCTACCTACCCGTTGCTGCGTTCTTGTCTCCTCGATTCTCTCCATTCTCTCCGGTCTCTCCAACGGCTCATACACCTGATCGTAGATGTGCTCCTCGGTTCTTGAAATGTCGGCATCACGGTAAGTCGGTGAATGCAGTCTGCCCTCCCGCTTCCTCCTCATCTCCTCTTCATACTTCCTCTCCTGCTCAAGCTGCCAGAGGCGATCATCCTCCTCTCGTCGCTCTACATCTTGGCGTCTCTGCTCCTCCTCCTCTTCCTCGGCCCTTCTCCTCTTCTCACGCTCCTCCGCCCGCCGACGATTCTCTTTTTCGGTCTAAAATTTTGGAGGATAAGATTCGTTCTTCAATGGTCTCTGCTAGCTCTCCTCAATGGTCTCTAACCTCTCCTCGCCTACCTCAATAGCCCTTAGCCGCTCCAACTCCAGCCGTCGCACCTCCTGCTCCTTCTCCTTGATCTCCATCTGCCTCCTCTTCCTCTCCTCCTCCTCTCTGGCCTCTTCCTCCTCCCTCTTCCTCCTCTCCTCATCTCTTCGTCTCCGTTCTCTATCCTCTTCCTCCAGCCTCTCCCTCTCCATTTCTCGCTTTCTCCTGACCCTCTCCTCCTCTTCAGCTTCTTCTCTCATTGTCCTCTCTATATCTGCTCTCCTTCTCTCTTCCTCTCTTCGTCTATCCTCCTGTTCTGCTAGGGCTCGATCGGCCTTTCGTTGTTCTGCTTCTTGTTTCGTTAGTTGCTCAGCCGTCTTTCGGTTTTCCTCGATTTTTCGGTAAAGTTCGCGTTGGGTCCTCACAAATTCGGGCTCGGGCTCCTCGGCGGGGAGGATGGGGGGCTGTTTGGGCTTCCGTTTCGTGTCGGAAGGTGGATTTGTGGGAGGGGCCGGGGATACGGACGGGAGATTCGAGGCTTCAAGGAGTACGAAACGGTCTCCGTCACGGGTTTTCGTATGGTAGGGGTCGTAGTGGGGCTGAGGTTTTTCATGGGGATGATCTGCAAAGTAGCTTAAGTTTGGTATCTCTCTCTCTCTCTCTCTCTCTCTCTCTCTCGCTCTCTCTCCCTACCTTGAACCTGTTCCCGATGATGATATTGTATATGATGATGTCCGTAGTGTACATATCTTCTATCCTCTCGATTTTCCCCATGACGCCTCCGTCCGTCTTCATGATGATGTTGTATGTAGTGATGTCCATGATGCGGCAGTCCATATGGTACATGAGGTTCATAGGTGTGTTCGTAGTGATGTGGGTACGGTGAGTAGTCGGGCCCATGCGGGTGATGTCCATTTTCCTTGGCAGGCTCATCATAGTGATGCTCCACCGGTTTTTGGTGCTGCACTTCAGGCTTCCCGATTACTTCACCGTGTTCGATCTCCTCGTAGTGATTTTCTAAATTACGGGTAATAATTTTTTCGAATCTCATAGTTTCGAAAAGCCACTTTGGTCCCTTTACTCGTGCTCCCACCTTTTTCGAGGTGGTGCTCCTGGTGTCGAACCTCGTGCTGGTCGCTTTCTGAGGGCTTGGAGTGGAAGTGTTGGCCTGGTTGCGCGCCGCCACCAATTCGAAGCTCTGCCTCGGATCTGGGAAATTTGGTTTTATAAGCTTGAATCAGACTCACCTAGCCAGTGGGCTTGGTGTCGTTTGGGCTCGTGGGCTTGGTGAGCGTAGGGTGTAGAATCTAAAAAAAAAATAGGTGGTGGAGCGAGTGCGAGAGAAAGAGAGAGAGAGAGAGAGAGAGAGAGAGAGCGAAAGGAACTCAATACCTCTGCTGAGCATCAGCCGTCAACGGGCTCAAATCAACGGGCCGAGGCCTTGGACTCTGAATCCGAGGAAGCGGCGAGGTGACCTCCTTCCTGACGACCCTCGGCGTGTCCTGATGTGTCCTGGCCGGTTGCTTAATCGGTGTCGATGGCGTTGTCGTATCCAATAGGGATGAGGTCGAGCTGGGCCTCCCCTTCGGAACCTCACTCAGAGGCCCAGGTCTTGTCCTCAGATCATCACCGTGCTCCAGCCTTGCCCTCGGCACCTCGTACACGTTTCCAACGGACTGGGTACGACGCCATGGCGCGGCTTCTGGGGAGCTGGAATGGAGCTGGTCAAGCTGGCTTACAATTAATTCTAAAAAGTCGGAATTTCCGTAATGTTGAAACTGCAAAATGTCGAAATCCACCACGTTAAAACTAATAATGCCAAAATCTCGCTAATTCTCGAAATTTTGAAAACCCGAATTTTGAAATTTCGACGTTTCGAATCGTGGTTTTTATTGGCTTGTCGGTTCTTTTGAAACTCACCAGAACTGCTGGCGTAAATTCTTGACACCCTGGAAGTGGTAGGATTCCTCCGTCGTGGCACGTCGAGGCGCAACAGGGGCTTGGTGAGTGGGTTGTCGATCTACCGGCTGGGGTTCCACCACCTCCTTGGGTTGGGCCACTCGCGGCACCGTGATTTGATGACCTAAATGGATTTATTTCCGCTTTTTCGGTAGATGAACAAGCTTCTAGCAAACCCTCACCTCGTGCAATATTCGTTGGCACCTGCTTGACCCCGACACGCTCATGCTCCCAGGCTTCTGGCGCTGCTCTCTTGCTCCTCTCCTCTTCCATCTCATCCTCCACGGCGATTCTCTGTATCCCCGGCACCGAAAACGTGAAGCCCTCATTCTTGGTCCACGAAGTCGGCGTCTTCCTCCCCGAGCTCGGGCTCTCCGCCGGTCTTGTAAATGGCGAATTCTTGGGCAGCACATCGGCGGGGAGTTCCTTCGTCTTCTTGGGGACGGGCGGGATTTTGTCCTTGTTGAGCATGCTCTCCCTCCACTTGTTGTTGCGGCTCATCTGGCGGATGGCGTTCGTCGTGTAGATTAGCTCCCAGTCAAGGTGTTCATCTTCGGTGGGTTCGGGGGCTGGTTCGTCTTCGTACTTGTTGCCCTGAAAAGAGGTTGAAATTTAGGTTTATGACCAAGCTAAGCCAAAGTTAAGCGAAAGCTAAGCTAGGCCTAAGCCTGAGCCGAAACGAAGTCCACTAAGCCTACTTACCTTAAACTTTCGCTCAGCACTCGAGTCGTGTCGATGGGCAAACTCCTCGCGAGCCCGGTGCACATCACGAGGAGGTGGGGCCGAGGTGGGGGGAGGGGGAGGGGCTGCAGACGTCTTCTGGGAGGTCGTGGAGTTCTGTTTGGCGGGCACGATTTGATAGTGATCAATCTCCTCGTAGATGTTCTCCTCGCCGAGGTGTGTCTCGACCGTGGAGGTGTAGGTTCCGGAGAGTTGGGAATGGCCGAATACCTAAAAGAGGGGTTTGGCCGGATGAGCTGCAGTCGCCGTCGAGACCTAGTCTACCAAATACGTCGAATCTGGCACCTTTAAAACACCTTTAAAACACATACCTCTCGATGCGACGCCTGTCTCACTGGCTCCTCTCTGGCCACCTCGTCATATTCATGGTTGCGTGGTGCGGGTACCGGCTTGGTGGGTCGTGATGGTTCGGTGTGTACCGTGTAGTTGGTGAGCACCACCGGTTCGGGTTTCCATTTGCGGTTGCGGATCTCTTCGAGAAGCTGAGATCTGCCCTGCTCGGTGGGTTCGGTTTTTGGCTTGAAGATGGGCTTCGGCTTGATGGGGCTGTGGGTTTCTGCGACTTCGGAGTAGATGGGCTCCACCTGGAACATATTCTCTCTCTCTCTCTCTCTTCTCTCTCTCTCTCTCTCTCTCTCTCTCTCTCTCCCCTCTCTCTCCCTCGCTCTCTCACCCACCTTCTGTTGCTGCACCCTTTCCACCGTCACTTCATCATATTCAGCATGTTCATCGTGCGTCTCCAGATGACTCTCCTGACGTGCGTACGCAGCCAAGGGATTCGCCGTCGATGTAATGGTCCTAAAATCAAGCCCTTAAGCAGAACAGCGTCAACCTACGCGGTCAACGGCGTCGAGGGCGGAGTCACCGTACTCGGCACAGCTCTATGCGGAGCCCCATCCAAGTTGAAGCTCCTCCTCGACATCACCTCCTGCACAAAATCCGTGGACGAGACGCTGGAAGACGCTTCAAACCTGCGGTGTTGTACATCGACTGCCCTCTCCTTTGGTTGGGCAAGCGATCTCTCGGCCTCTTGCAGTGATTTTCTGAGCTTTTCGGAGAGGTCGTCATCATAGTGGAGTTTCGTCTGCAGCTCGTGCTCCCGGCTTAGCACGGGGCTGAGTACGCGCTCCATTTCGACTGGGCTGAGGACACGCTCACTGATCCTGGGGGTGTCATCGACGGCTCTGTGCTCGATACGAGCATCATCCAACCTCGCCGTCTCCATCATGTAATCAGCAACCTCGTAGTCTGTGGGGGTTCTGCTCCTTGAACTGGCCGAAGTTGTTGTGCCCCTCCAGGTCCACTTCTTCTCTGTGGGCGGGGCATCGGGGGGCGGTGATAATGCCCTTTCGGGAATTGCATATCCGGATTCGTCGAGCTGTGGTTCCGGGGAGATGAGGTGACGTTGTGAAGCGGCAGCGATCTCGGCGTCAGCACCGTAGGCGTTGTAGTGAGCTGACTTTTGTTCACCTACCTTCTTTAGGACAACGTCAGCATAGGGGCTGTACGGCTCGATGGCCTCGGTGGGGATGGGTGGCACTTTAAAGGTTGGTGATTTTGTGGACGGGGAGTAACCGTGGGGGGTGTAGCGGTCATAGGGCTTTGGGCTTGAACTTGTTCGTGTCGCGCCTCGGCCTATTATCGGCAAAGTTCCGGTAGGTGAGGCTCCGAGCCCAACAATGTTTGTTGGAGGGCTGTACTGCTCGAAAACGTGGGGTTTCTCGGGTGTTGCGGACAGAGTGACAGACGCACCATGTCCAACCACAACACCCTCAGAAGCCGCCGAAGCTCCACTCCCACTCCCAATGATGTTCTTCTGCCCGCTGTGCTGCTCGAAGACCTCGGACTTTCCAACTGTTATGGACGCACCATGCCCGATCCCACCTGAAGTCGGTGAAGCGCCAACCCCAATGATGGTCTTCTGAGCGCTGTACTGCTCGAACTCCTCGTCTTTCCGAAATGATACGGACGCACCCTGTCCAGTCCCAAGAACACCCTTCGGAGCCGAATACTGCTCGTACATCTCATCAGAATCCTTATAAGGATCATAATGCTCGTGCTCACGTCTCAGCTCGACTCCGTGAAGATGATCCACCCCCTGGTGGTGCTCAAGGTGGATCTGATCGCTTTGTCGATGAACATGGACGGTGGCCGAGACCTCGGTTTGCAAAATCAATCCGGTCGAACTGCTTGAATGTGTTTCTTCCAGCTCTCTACTGCGATGAAGTTCTACTGGAGGTGGAACGTCAAGGACCAAAGTCTCTTGGAGCCGATTTTCGATATTGTCCGGATCACCGGGATGCGCATCGGCCTGAGAAACGATGTGGATCTCCTGCGTGGACCTGCGACTCCCCCCAGACCCAGAGCTCCCGCTACGACCCCGGGTCAGCTTCTTGGCTGTGGACAGAATGGCGGAGCGCACTTTGGAGGTGATCTTGGTCTTCGGTTTTTCGTGGGAGGACGAGGTTTCGGTAGATTGGATTGAGGGCGACTTTGTGGCCTCGTGATGGATTTGGCGGATGTGGCTGACGGGCTGGTCGTGCTGAACGGTGTTTAAGAGGTGAAAAAGCTCGTGCTCACCTCAGTCTGCTCGCCAACAGTGTCCTCTTGTAGTATTGAGGGTACGCGTTGTTCTCTAAAAATCGTGTGTGCTCTGTCTTAAATACGTGACAAGCAACGTGGCACGCAACGCGACACACAACCTGCCACGCGGGATGAATCGCAACGCGACACCGAACGTGACACGCAACGCGACACGACATGCGACAGGTAACGTCGCTCGCAACGCGACGTACAACGCAAGGCGCAGCTTGACACGCAACGTGGCACGCAACGCTACACGCAAGACGACACGCAGCGCACATGCACGCTCTGGCCTGCGCAATGGATTATGACAGTTCAAAAGCACAGAAACACGCTCGCGTTGCGTTTAGCGTCACGGCAAAACCGTCGCTATGGTAAAACTGACCGATAAGCTCCAGAATTAACACGGTCCACCATTTTTCCGACCTCGACTTGCTCCCGAAATTCATGGTAGGCCAGGGAGGGCGGTTGAATTGTGGTTGGACTCTTAAAGGCCGGAAATCTATCTCTCCTCTCTCTCGCTCTCTCTCTCTTTCTCTTTCTCTCTCTCCCTCTCCCTCTCCCTCTCTGAAATACCGCATCTCCAGCAGGTACAGGTGGTGGATCATGAGCTGGGAGTTGACCTAAAAACTCGAGTTTATCGATGTTTTATAATTTAAACCTTAGGAAACTTAAGCTGAGTATGCAATAAAATAAATATGTGATAATATTTGATATTGTATATATGTGTAATAGCTAAATAATCCCTTGCTACCCACCTGACATCTTTGCCTTTCTGATCCTTTGCAAAAGGGTCAGCGGTGGCGGCTCCTTGACGGGGCCAAGCTTCTCCAGGGATTGAGGTCTGTAAAAGTCTCCCTAATTGTTACTTCAAGTCTAATTAATCCAATTTAAACCCGAAGTTTAGAAAATCTAAAACTCAGCAACACCTACCGTTCCGGCTTTTCCGCGACCTTCGGCGTCCTATTTGACGTGAGCGCCTGGCGTTCCTTCTGGAACCTCGCAAGTTTTCGTAGAGCTCAAAAATCTTGCCTCTCGCAGCCGCTTCTGCTCAAAATAGTCGGCGCGAAGGGAGCGTCCACTGGAGCTGGTCGGAAATCTCTGGAAATGGGAGATAGCGAAACACAACGCGGGTGGGAGGGCGTTGCGTTTCGTTGGAGAACGCTGGAGAGCGAGAGATAGAGAGCGGGAGAGAGAGCGCGAGAGCGCGAGTGAGAGAGAGCGAGAGAGCTAGTGAGAGAGTCAGCGAGAGAGGTAGAGCGATCGAGAGAGAAAGCGAGAGAGAGACAGGGAGAGAGAGCGAGTGAGCGAGCGAGAGAGCTGGTGAGAGAGTCAGCGAGAGAGGTAGACGGATCGAGAGAGAAAGCGAGATAGAGACAGGGAGAGAGAGAGCGAGAGAGAGAGAAAGATAGAGAAAGCGAGAGAGAGAGAGCGAGACAGGAAGAGGTACAGAGAGTGAGGGAGCTATCGAAAGCATCCTAAAAACATTTTTTCAAAGGCAAAAAGCATTTTCAAGGCACCGCCCTGGAATCGTAAACAAACATTGATTGCTGGGTGAGGCACTCACTTTGAGGCTGCTCGCCCGTTTCAGATAATAATTTTTACAGCCGCCCACAGCCTTTCCAGTGATAAAGGTCAAGCCGGGTCTTTAACGGGGTGTAGGAAAAGCTAGTAGTGCGCTGTAGCTGCAAAAGCTGGGAATTTTTGGCTGAGTGGCCGGAAATGAAAGCTTGCCCGCGGTGAAGCCGATAAATGCGGGGAGTTAAAAGCAAACAGACTGTGAAAAACAACATTGGATTTGATCCCGAGGAAAAAAGGGCAAGAATAACTTTCAAAAAAAACCTAGTATTGAAAGAGCCCAGCAAGGGAGAGCGAGAGAGCGACAGAGCAAGAGAAAAAGACAGAGAGTGAACAAGGAGCAAGAGAGAAGGGAGCGAGAAAGCCAGAGAGAGAGAGAGAGAGAGAGAGAGAGAGCTATGGATATTGGTATGAGATAGTGAGATAGAGAGAACCCGAGGGCAGGAGAGAGCACGAGACCACGGGAAAGCGAGAGAGCGAAAGAGGACAAGGGATGGCGATAAGGAGGAAGAGCATGAGACAAGACCACGAGAGATAGCGAGAACGAGAGAAAGAGCGAGAGGGAGGGAGAGCGAGAGGGAGAGAGAGCGAGAGAGCGAGAAAGAGAGAGTAAGTCTCTGGCACCCGCGACACGCAACGCGTCCGCCACCTCGAACACCTTAATCAATTACGAAGGAAAAGGCTGGTCACGTGTCGCGACGCCGTAAATCAGTAGGCCAAAACCGCAACCAACAAAATCCGTAGCCACGCTTCCGAGTCCTTTTAAAAATACGCAAATCGATAAGCCAATCAAGGGGAGTGCAGCCTGGGGCCGGGGGGAATGCGGGCAGCAGGCCGAATTCAGAAGATGCTGCCTTATCACCAAAGAATGGGCACACATACACTCAACTCGGCGAAAGCCCAACCCAGATAGCAGCCAGACCCCCCTAATAAAGTCGAGAATTCCCCGGGTAAGCCGCATTAAACGCCGCAGTTTTTATGGAGATTTTGGGGTGAGTGGAGGTGGGTGGGAATGAGTCAAGAAATCAGAACGAATTACTGGCTATCTAACGTTGTATCGCTGTCTCACTCACTTGCTCACGCTCTTTCTCTTGCTCACGCTCTCTCTATCGATCTCTCTCCCTCACTATCTCTCAAGCTCTTCCTCAATATCTAACACTAGCTCACTCTCACGATATCTCCCTTCCTCGTGCCCTCTCTCGTGTTCTTCTCTCGCGCCCTGTTTCTCTCTCTCGCTCTCTCGCTATCTCTCGTGCTTCCTCTCGCTCTCTCTCTCTCTCTCTCTCTCTCTCTCTTCCTTACCCTATTGAAGTACTTCGCGTTTCTCGTGATCACCAAAGCGTGTATATGACGCTCGACGCTCAGCTGCCGTGCGAGGATCTCGACTTTGAACTAAACATTTAGGCTAAAGTTTCCAATTTCCGAGCAACCCCTCCTTACGTTTTGGGCCTCCAGCAAAATGGCCTTCTCCAGTTCGGCGCAACGCTTCTTCGAGTCGGCAGTGGCCTTGTCAAGTTGCCGGGAGACTTCTTCTAGTTTCTACAAAATGGCGAGTTTTAGAGAGCGAGAGAAAGTGAGAGAGAGATGAAGAGAAAGAGAGAGAAAGAGAGAGCGAGAGGGAGCGAGAGAGAAATATTCTTAGATGTTAATAAAGCGCTTACATGTCCCTCGCCTTCGCAGCCCTCCAAATATTCTTCAAGTGCTCGTTCGTTGTCTCCACGTACCAGCGCCCACACATCTGTTGTCATACCTAAAACGGAGGTTTTGGCCGGTGTCCGAACTGCTAGAAGTCTACGTTTTGCTGTGGATTTCAGGGCTATTGGTGCTACGTGACTATGAAAACTTCTAGACGCCTCGAAACCCCCTGAGCTAGTCGTAAAATTCTCTTGCCGAGCTGATCCGTCATTTTCACGAAAAACTTTTGGCAACACGAGGCGAATTTTAACGAAACGATTGGATGCAAAAGCCCTAAATGAGGTAATATTTTTGTAAAATTCTAGAATTACCAAAAACGCGATTAAATGCGACTTTTCAAGGCATAGCCGCTAACTTAATTAGGTTGATGAAAACTGTCCGATCATCCACAAAAAGGTGTAAAAAATTGTGCAAAGTTATAACATCGAATGTTTCGGGCTGAAACATCTACATGGCGGGCGTCATCTGATAACCGTTAGAAAGAGGTGCAAGAGACAGCTACACGCATCAAGACAAACCGATTAGTTTGACTTAACGGCAAAGCCGCTTTCCGGCGTGATTAAATTTGATTAGGGCGTGTTGGGTATAGTGCGCAAAAGAAATAGCTAGATTTGGAAGGGGCGATCTTGACTGTTATTTTTTAGAAATAATTAAATTGCAAATAGTTTTTGGAAGGGTATTTTTATAATTTTTAGGGCGACCGAAGTTGCCTGGAAGCGTCACAAAAATACGCCAAAGCTAGTTTTACGGGTGCGACGCGGGATGTTGAAGTCATTTTTTGAATATTCAAGAATTACTCAGAAAATAGAGTAGTGTGCGCTGGTTGGCGGCTGGCTCAGTCTGGGTGAGGTATAGGCTGTACCACATGCATGCCCTAAACCACGCAGAACGGTTGGAAAAAATTTTTTGACGCGTAATATGGAAATAATAATTATTAGACGTACCAGCGCCCAAAACGCGCTTCGCGGGCCTTGGGCGCTGGAATGCGGCCCTTGCATGAGAAACTGACTTTCCGATAGCTTGTTAGACGAATAAGCAAAACGACAATAAGTGAAATGTTAACTCATGACTCGAGGATGGGCGGGAATCGGGTATTAGTAGGAAGGGGGGAAGCCGCCAAAATCCCGACATACATAATCCCGACAGCCAAAATACCGACACCCAGAAAGCGACGATTTTAAAACCATTTATGGGTAAAATGGCAGAAAATATCACATTTTGCCTGTCGGGATTTCGGCTGTCGGGATTATGGCTGTCGGGATTTCGGCTGTCGGGATTATGGCTGTCGGGATTTTGGCTGTCGGGATTATGGCTTAAATTCAGGTTCTGCTCATGTAATAACAATTCATGTAATGGCACCGGTTTGTTAGCGGGGGGGGGTATAATGTCGTGGATTTTTCAGTATTTCATTATTATTTCGGGCTGCAACGTCGCGCACCGGTAGGGCATCAACAAATATCATACGAATTTTAATTCCAAACCGAAGCAGAATATTTAAGAAATTTATAACAAATCAAAAAAAGCCCGGAAAATGGGGTTGGCCGGCGATTTTTCGGGATTTCTTTTATTTTTCGAAATTCTGTTAAGGCTATTGGGGAGCGAATTAAAAATATGCTAAGGGTTTTATACAGCTCAAAATAATGAAATTTAGAGAAGCAAAGCTAGTGACAAAAATTTTTTTCAAACTAATTGGCACTCGGATTTCTCATGGTCAAAAGCCATGCAAATTCCCAAGAAAAAAACTTCAAAAAGGCCCAGAATAAGGGCGAATCGCAAATAACATCAATGGCACTCTCGAAAAAATTTATAGGGGGCATTTATTCGTCAAAGACGGGAAGGGGGAAGAGATGGGCGAGGACTACGCATCGATACAAGCGCCACTAGATAACGGGCCGTCTTTTGGCCCGGGTTCTGTTGGAGTGATTTTGAATGGAAGCCGCCATCACTCATCTACAGCCCCGCAGCCAATGAACTGCTCCCGGGGGCTTATTGGATTAGCTAGGGGGTGAGCTGAATTGATTAGCAGGGAGTCCGGAAGCTGGAAAATATTACGGTGGCGGTCAGGGGGTCATAGACTTTTGGCAAAACAGGCGAGAGAGACAGAGAGAAAGAGAGAGAGAGAGAGAGAGAGAGAGAGAGATAGAGAGGAAGAGAGGGGGAGTGAGAGCAACATATGGAAATGACCAAAGCGTTCGACTGACCTTTAAAACACGTACATTTCCTGCAAGCTAGAAAATACCTCTACCTCATTAAAGGAGCAAGCAACGTATCTTTACATATCTTTAAAACTGATGCATTTTCGAATGCATCAGTTCAAACAAAACGACGCTCGTAATAGCCTCTGGATTGATGGGAAGAAATGCCTGAAATTTTGGGGGCTATGGCTTCTGCATTAAACTAAAAAGAATCCCTAAGAAAGTCGTTTAACTTTGTTTAAGACCTTGTGAGAATTTAGGTCCGATACTGAGAATACCTAAGCGTCTTCGTAATGCAGCAACACCCCCGAAAAATCATTGAACACTAACAAGGGAGAAGGAAGAAATGAGGGTGGTTTTTCATGCTAGGACTGCACCTTCTGACGAATTCTGCGTTGATTTTAATCCGTTTTTAGATTTTCCAAAATCGCGATATTGGGAAACCGCAGTGCATTTTTGAGGCAAAATCCCTGACAGTCCGGCTTTAGAGGTTTTTAATGGAAGGCCTTTGAAAACGTCATGGAACAATATTTGCAAGACCTAAATAGTACTTTTTGATCGATCATACCCGGATCGGTTTCGACAGTATTCAAAACGTAAAAAGAACGGCAATCACGATGAAAATTTCGGCGAGTATGAAGATTCCCGTGGCACTATTGTAAAACTATTCTCAACGTGTTCAGAAATTCATGGTGTTCCTAGTTTTGATGTTTTTATTTTTACCCAAAATCATAGCCAATTGGGTATGAAAGCAAAACGCAAAAGTTTATTTCCAATCGGGAATCGAACCCGCGCGTAAACAATCCAAAGGCACGCGCACTACCAATATGCCACGCCCGCCTGCCCATCCGGGTCCGAGGGAGGCTATATGGCCACTCCCTAAACAAGCCGAAATGGCCGACCAGACGGAACATAACTCCAAATTAGGTCATTATGAAATCAATTGTTCTCGAACGGATCGTAACGTATTAGGCAAATTTGGAAAACGCCAGCTTGTTCAGAATAAAATGTTACCTCATCGTTGCCCTAGTTTCCTAGTAGGTTAACTTCAAGTTTTTCAGTGTATCTGCAGCGTACCAGGCGGCACTAATAAGCTTTTCCAGCTAACGCCATGAAGCTGCACGCAAAGCGTCCTTTAATTGTTGTAAAGTAAGACACGGTTTTTCACTTAAAAAATGAGGTAAAATCATTTAAAAACGGGACAGCCCATTTCCAGATTCTCCCGGTCCACCCTCACACCCTAAGCCGGTCCTTATCTAAAGCCTCGCCATAGTTTGACAAATATCGAAAAATCGTCTCATCGGCTGACTGGACCATGCTGCATCGAATTATTCATACCTCCGTTTTTCAGGTTATTTTTGCGGAATTTAATTCTCGGAAAATCATAATCACTCACCCCTCTTTCGGTGCTTCTTCATTATGGAACTTTTTAATAGAAAAAAAATCAGAAAATTCGAGGTCTCTGTCCGAATCAATGCGATTTCCGGGTTGTGATTAAGCTTTGAGGGCGGACTGGCGCTCGGCCAGACGATTTTATGCCATTTCTTTGTGCAAATATGGGCTCGATGGGGAGACGCCGAATGTTGCCGGAAGAGACGGGTTGCAGTTCATTTTAAGAAAGCTAAATATTTGTGTCAAGTCTTCTGAGGGTTTACAAGTGTGAAAAATAAGCAAACTAGCTTGTAAAATTATTTAACCCGAAACTTTATTCGTCCAATCTAGCTCCAGGATAGCATTCTCCATATCTCTCGCCCCCTCTCTTTCTCTCTCTCCCTCGCTCTCTCTCTCTCTCCGTCTCTCTCTCTCTCTCTCTCTCTCTTTCGCGCTCTCCTTCTGGTAAATTCTTAAATTAATTTCGAGCGAAGCTTTGAAATGGGTTTGCCCTGCTGGTTTTGTCCCAATTTTTCTATCTTGACCCACTGCCAGGTATCGACCCCTTTTCGGTATCTGCTGCGCCCTGTTCGCGTACAGATTTTTGGTCGTTCGTGGTTGCTTTATCTCTTGTCGTAGCTCTTTTGCAAAACCCTTCCCTTTGACCCCGCTTTTGCACAAGCACCAAATATCAGAACTAGCATCTGGTATCTGGAACATATGAAAAATCAGCCTCAGCACCGCGTTGCTTGGTAAATGACGATATTTTCAAGGTTCCGGCTGGCGAGAGAGAGAGAGAGAGAGAGGGATACGGTAACGCGCTCACCGTCGGCACCGGAATCATGTAATCAGACAATTATCAGGATTTCTGTTTTTTTTTGCATTATTTATTTTGATATCTAATTTTTCTGATACACATGGAGCAAGTATTTTTACTATTACTAAACGCAAAACCAAATTACAGTTTTTTCGACCAAAATTTTGGATTTTTTATGGTTTGTTTAATATTTTTAGATAGATTTGCAGTGTTCAAAATGGTCTAATTTCAGAGAAAAACAATATAAAAATACTTTACATTACTAAAAAAATACTATTTAATTACTAGGCTTTTCTAGAATTATAGGACTAATTCGCGGTTCTTTATAAAGGCCCCCCCGATAATGCGAAAGCTCCGGATTTACAAAATTCAATTTTCCGCTTATTTATTCAATTTAAATTTATTCCAAATTTTATTCAATGCATTCCGATATTCAGGTCGCTTATTGCATAGATCAGGCTCTTCTCTTCTGGTCCCCCGGAAACTTTGCCCCCATTCTAATTTCACACCCTAACCCCCATCAAAAGCCGAATCTCACTCCCCGGCTCTCAAACTGGCATAAAAACCCGGGGGTCCCGCAAAGAATCCACGTCTTTTACTCGCAGCCACAAAAACACAGCGATATGCGTGTGCTCGCGGAAATTACACGCTGAGGGCCCGCGGGGAAGGG